AGGAATGTGGAGAGGCAGAAAAACTTACTGTTCCCATCCCTTTCAGGCAGTAGGTGGTGTGGTGTGTTAGCTACTGATCTTACAGCAGAGGACTGGGAGTAGGCAAGATGCATGGCTGGAAGAACTCAGTGTGTGGTGGCTGTGCTTCTGAAGAGAGCTACATTGGGAGGGAAAATGTCTTGTTAACAGGGATTGGTAAAGCCGCGTGTATTTGAAGTTACCGGAAGCTGTCAAGACTTTCATGTAGGTTTATATGTAAGAATTCGTGACTGGTTAGTGTGTACTCTTGGCTCCTCACTTGCATGGCATTCGTTAACTGGGGGGAACAGCTTGCTAGAAACAAGTCTCGGCTTACTGTGGCTGATTGCAGAAGCCGACATTAATTAGTTAACTGCTGCACTGCAACACCAACTACTGGGGACAGTGGCAGTAACCCTCTTGCTTTTAGTTGACTTCTGCCGACAGAGCTCCGTTGCTCTGGTCTGTTAAGCTGCAAAGAGTAAAGCGCCTATCTCTTATGCATAAACTGAAGTTTACATTAACAGCTCTCCTGAAGCTTGCATTGCCATGAGAATGAAGCTGAGGAATGTTGAAGTGGCTTGTGCTTGCTTTGGAAAAGACACTGCCAGGAAGTAGCTGATTAGCGTTAGTATTTAGTGCTTGCTTTCAGTGTCTTTAGGTTCTGTTAAAACCTGCACTTTTTGACTAGAAAACATAGTTAATGGCATGTAAGGAGCTCTGAATGCAAGAACATTGTGCAGAAATGATTGGTGTGACTAAGTGCAACAAACAGACTTTAAGCTCTGAATAAGCATGGGGTGTTACTTCTGCAGTCTGTATGTGTAGTGTTGTTTTGGCTAGTGATGTTAAATGCAGGTTCACCTGACAAAATAAGAAATTGTCCTATGAGGTTTCTTTAGATTACATGTAGAGTAAACAACACATCATCATGTTAGCCATTGACTGGAAAAGGCATCAAACTGGAAGAATGTACAAAAGTGTTTTGCTTTCAAATTCTGCAGAGGGAAGTCTCTACTAGACAAAAATGGAAGTCTTTTGGCCAAGACAGAGATGAGAAAGTGATTAAAAACTAAGGGTCCCGTTTGGAGCGTAGCACTAGGCAGAGCTGCCAGAGTTGAGGATCACAGGCTAGGTTAATTCCTAGCTTATGCTTCCACAATTCAGTGAGCTGGGAAATGTGAGCATTGTGGTCTTTTCTCATTGAAGAGCTGTAAGACACTGGCTGGTGCTAGAAGTGATTAATACTTACATGGTGGTATGTGTAGCTCAGGTAAGTAAAGTGTTTAAAGAGCTACCAGAATGGTTAGTCTGTTAAAGCTGAGAGCAATTGGGATTAGTCTAAATTGTTTTGGAAAGCAGGAGGAAAAATCATTCATGGATTCAATTCTTTTTTTTATAGGCCGAATTTGAGGCAGAACTGAAATCTGCTGCTGACAAGCTTGTGATAGTTGATTTCTCTGCCACATGGTGTGGACCATGCAAAATGATCAAGCCGTTCTTCCATGTAAGTAGCCTTTCTGCTTTTATTGATAGTTCTGTTGAAGTATATACGAATGTTTTTGTGCTGCTTGACAATGACATGGAGGAAGCCTCCCTTTGCCACATGCATTTTCTAGAAAAGGGGGAGAAGTCATAGTTATCTACTTTGAGACTATTGAGTTAGGTATAATGACCTTTGATACAGATGGGAGCTCAAATGTAGTTTAACTTCTGCTGTCCTGATGCTAACATGCATCTTGGGTCACTGCCCCCCAAGATGTGAGAGAGAGTGGGAACAGTGCTTATCCTTCTACATAGTTATTGTAATCACTCCAGCTGTGTTTAAGTGGCAATATTACCTCCTTGTAAAGTGTCAGGCTGTAGCATCTCTTGGTGGTCAGCTGAAGGCTGCAACAGAAGGCCTTTTACCTATGCCTTGGGATATTTGAGTCTTCTCTGTGGGGACTGTTTCAACAAGTTTCATCAGGCTCTTCCAGGTATTGGAACACAATGTTTTTGCTCAGATCAATAAAATAGCTGCTTTAAGTTAACATGGCAATTTTCACTTGTGGGTGTGGGCCATAGCAACACCAAACCTATGATTTATATGAATGTTCTGTTAAAAGCAACACTAACTGCATAGTTTCTTTTTTCATTCTAGAGTTTGTGTGACAAGTATAGTGAAGCGGTGTTCATCGAAATTGATGTGGATGATGCCCAGGTATGGTCCGGGGTGATGCTGAGAGGGCAGCTAATGTGCTCCATGCAAGTGACAATGAAAAACTCCTTTTAAAATGTCTGTGCAGATTCTGGAACAAATTAAGAGATTGCTTCAACTTTGAGAAGCAGAGATAGGAGTTTAGCACTTCCACTGGAAAGAATTCTTGTTTTTTTTTTTCAGACGACTTCTGAAGTGCATAAACTACTTTGGTTATCTGTAGAGTTTAACATGTGTTATATAACTTGTGAATACTGACCCTCTACTTCGTGAGGGACTGTTAGTGTAAGGCTTTAAGCTGCTCTGGTACAATCTTCCCTAAAACTAATGGCTCTCAACCGTCTGATCTGCCTGGTCTCTCCACTGCTCTTGGCACTGTTTGCTTTCATGTCTTGAGTTAATTGCAATAAAATGTCTGCTGTATAGGAGTTTCAGCAGTGTCACTTAGGTACTTGAATAACATCAGTTTGAAATACAGGAGTTGCCCATGGAGCTCCTGAACCTTACAAATAGCCATCTGTTTTGTTGCAAAAGTCTGTTTTTTTCCAAACACATAGTACAGGTATAGTGTATGTGTCTTTGCTGTTGCATGAATGAACTGCTGAATCATAGAATCATAGTGTCTAGGCTGGAAGGGACCTTCAAAG